TGCAAAAGCGTATTCGCCTAGCCCAAACCCCCAAATCCACCCACCCATAGGATAAAGCCTGCCATCATATGAACCCAGTTGTAGTGCTACTCCCTAAGGGTCCGTGTGCCCATACAGTCTACACTTTGGCCCTTTTTTCTGCAAAGCAGTCCCTATATAGGTATGTACTTCGAGGCCAAGGTATCTAATGTATGGCACCCTTGAGAGCTTTCCAGACTTTCGACTTTAGGGAAAAAACTACGCCAGCCGGGTCCAAGTTACTCCCCGTATACCAGCCGGTATACCTACTTCCCCTCCTAAACTTTAAACCCTAAGCCTATACTCTACTTATCGGATCCCTTGGCCTTTGGACCCTAGGTTCAGAAAGCAAGACCGAACATCGCCGGGCGTCGCTTGGGGTTTATAGAGGTCAAAGAGGTCTGTCACAGAGAAAGCTGAAGCTCATGCTACTTTAAAGCTGGAAGGGGCTCACGCCTTAAACCCTGTACAAACCCTGAACTTGCAAGCCTTTCTTGGACTTGACACTTAAAACCTAAACTAGGATACCCAGTAACCTAAGAATAACAAGGCCTCTCTTTTTGGTATTGGGTAACTTTATAAGGAACCTAGGACTACAAAAACGGAATAAGGGTACTACTGGGCATCCTAGTAAATCCCTCAACGAGCTCGCGCCTTCATGGTCTTCTGGGGCGTTGTCTCTGACTCGGGCTCGCGAGGCCTCATGAGAGTTTCCGAAAATGAGGGGTACCGTATGTGGGGGGTCCTTATAGTAAGGATCCTACTATTTAGGGTACTATATTAGGGTCCCCATTTTCGGAGACTCCCTCATAGAGTGTTAGGTACTGTCTGTTGTAAGGTTTCGGGTCCAGGGGATTGGATTAGGCGTTTAGGTGATTTGGGGTATGGGTTTAGGATTTAAGGCTTATGGAATGTAAGTGCTAGGATTTCGGGTGTGCCGTTTTAAGGTTCGAGCTTAGTCTTTCTTAGTTGCTGAGTTCATAAGCCCCAAAAAGCGTACACCTTCAGTTTTACAGTGGGTAATATCGTATTATCCCAAAATGTGTACCGTGTATCCACTCAGCTACCAAGGTTTTATAATCCTTCTGGACTGCAGAATGTTTTCACGATTTCACTCCCGGAGGGGCATTGACCTTTCCGTTCCAGCTAGCAGTCCTCTGTAGAATCTGGGTTTCAGCGGCATTCTGGAGTCTTGGGCATTAGATTCCAGGGCGCAGCGCCGCTGACATTGAGAGAATCAACGACTTTCTGGCAGCGAATTCCTTGCAAGAACAACTGGCCATACTTGGTCCACAACCCAGTCGCAAACCCTCAAATGAATGGTCGCACCAACCGGAAGCACGTTCACTACATATGCTTGAACGGCCACCTACTACAGGAGCCGAATCATTCAAGCAGCTCTGATGCTATCTACCACATATGGCTTTGCGCGAACTGCAAACCCTTGCTATACCGACTGCTGCACCAATGACTGACTCTAAGTACAGTACAGCAAACCCCAAAATCCCATTCATGCCTCTGCAGGGTTCGGTGCTTGTAAACACTTTGCTCTAAAGCCTGACCTCCTTTCAGATCTATAATATACTATGCTAGAGCTTATACTCTTATACTAGTATGTACATGTACAAAAACAGACAGGCTCTCTCCTTTTTGTGTCTCTCTTTCTCTCTCTCTCTCTCTGTCTCTCTCTCTCTCTCTCTCTCTCTCTCTCTCTCTCTCTCTCTCTCTCTCTCTCTCTCTCTCTCTCTCTCTCTCTCTCTCTCTGTCTCATATATATACACATACATACACATAGTTTGATTATAAGGCGGTTCCAAATTCCAATGCCCTCAAGTCCACTTCCGACAGCAGAGGCCTTCTTCGCAGGCTTCAACGATAAGTCAAGAAGCTTTGCCCCCAGTTCAGCCCATCATCTTCCTGTGGACACTTCTAAAAGCCCGTAAACCCTCCAACGCTCCGCGTATATGAAAGACCACATAGAGCCGGGAAGCTGGATGATGACCTCCAGCCCCAGTAGGTCGTTTACGACCTTACCTGGGTTCTTTGTCGAAGAAATGCTGGGACACGGTTCAGCGCTTAGCGACTGGAGTCGAAGTATGATGCAAGGAACCTGGCTCAAGATATGTTCGGCATATGGTCTAAGGGTTCTACCAAGTCTAGTGAGTCTAGTTGACAAGCATACTACGAAGGTTTTCATATTGACCTGTTTCAATTTGCTTATCAAGAACTGAGCTCGAGCTGGGGCTTTGGTCTTCTCGAAAGTGCTTTAGGGGACTTAGGGTTCATAGGGCTTGACAGAAAACCCAGAAATCGTACCCTAAACCCTAAACCCTAAAACCCCAAAGCCCTAAAACCCTAAACCCTTGAACGACGAACCCAAGGCCCGGTTGAGTCCTTGCTTTGCCTCTGCCGTAGCGCGGCAGCATGCTTTCCCAGAACAGTCTTGAGTTGAGCACTCACAATCCAAGCGCTTACCCAAAGGGTCCAAGTACCATTATAGTAGGCACTTGGTCCCCAAAAGGTATATACTTTACAAGCTGCCCCCACCTGTAATAGTGGTGTAATAGGAATATATTAGGGCCCTAATATAATCCTATATAATCCTTATAGTCACTACTACAGGGTGGGGGCCGCTTCTAATATATACTATACCATTACTTGGACCCTTTGGGTTAGCGTCTATATCCAGGGTCCCGTAGTGTCCGAAACTCCAGCAGAATCCACCTCGCCTCGGAGAAGCTTCTTCATCAAGCTCTGCGGAGTCTTCACGCGGCTACAGACCTCCGGCTTCGGCTTCGACATCTACTGGGTTATTTGGGTGGTTGTCAAAATTAGGGCCCCTTTTTGGGGTATCCTAAATATTAGGTGCCGTATTATATTAGGGACCCAAAAAAAAGGACCACAATTTTGACAACCACCCAGTATATTTATGGAAGCCTGACATACTATTCCTTGTGGTTCTTTCCGGTAAGTACAGTATGCAGTATATCCTATAATGCATCCCTTAAACCCCATTCCACTTATTGAGGCGCCTATGTTACTTTGCACAGAGAGGGCTGCCAATGCCCTCGGCAAACACCGCGAAGAAAGTCTGCGCTTCTGGTTTCAGGGCTTGTGCAGGCGACCCGTGGCCTTAGTATAGAAGTCTCCATACTTCAAGCAAGGTTTTGGGGTATATGAAATAACAGTCATACGTGTACTAGTCACGAAAAGCTATTGCACAATTACTGAATCTTAAAATAATGGTAGTCCTGAATTGCGAACTCCCTCTCAAAGAAAACGTAGCTACACATGACATGCAGCCCAGAACCCAAACACTTGAAACCCTCCACTCTTGCAACCTCGACTGTTTCACGAGGAAGTTGCTTGTTGACGCAAAACCCTAACCCCCTATAAGTTTACACCCTACCTAAACCCAAACAAGGACCTATATACGGGAATCAAAATATGTTATAGGGAACACTGAAGATATTATAGGGAACACTGAAGAGGAAGGGTTTCTTTGTAGGGTCCAGGTACACCGTGTATTGTAGGACCACCAGCCATTGGCCTCTCCAGGGTCAAGCCCCGCCCACTTAAAGGATCATGGGACTTAGTAAGCGGGGTTATAAATAGAGTAACTATACGTATAACTTGGGTACGGCCCCCATACAGTAACAGTCTATAATAGGGCTACTATTAAGGGCCATGTATATCGATATTATGAATATTCTCCAACTGTTACTGACTGGGGGCCGTACCGAACGTATACCCACTTATAAGCCCACTTAAGGTACTTATAACCTGACTTACTAAGTCCCATGATCCCCATTATAGAACCGCTATAGATCCCTTTAAGGAACCGTATTATAGAACCCTATAGTACCCTTACTAAAAGGGAGCCCTAAATCTGACTTACTAAGTCCCATGATACTCCAAGTAGACCCTAACCCCTAAACCCTAAACCCCTAAACCAAGTAGACTCTACCTTAACCCTGAAGAACTCCTTAAGGAAATCATAATAGGGAACCCTAAAAAGGTAGGTTCTTCAGGGTTAAGGTAGATACTAGATCCTCCAAGCAGGCCTTGTAACTCTTCGCCACCGCTTTGAAGGCTCGGTCGTTGTCCAGGGCGACTCTCACCACCTCGGCGACTGAGGTGCTGAGGACGTATAATAGTACATACTATTCCCCGAAGGATCCATAGCTACCTTAAGAGACTACGGCTCCTTTAAGGGTTCCTTTAAGAACTTTAAGGGGTTCCTTAAGGATGTAGGAACATTTTGGAGTAGGGATACTTATAGTCTCCGTTGTAGACCCTTTGGGGACTAATTTAAGGCCAATGTATATACATGCCGGTACATGGACCCTTTGGCTTCTAGTAATTCTAGTAAATCACATTGTCGTATAGTCCGTATAGTATACTGGCTACTAAAGAATAAGCTAGTGCGTTGTAGTATGTCATGCGTATTTTCTAGTATATTGCGGCCCTAGCCGCCCGAGCCCCCAAAACGGTTGACCCTTTATGCTTACGGTCGAAGTACAAAACAACCCGAAAGGTAAATTAAGGGTAACTTACAACCACTAAGACTTGCTTTTAGGAGCAACATATCCGAAATAAGAGGGAGACCATCAAACTGAGCATAGTATTGGCGAAGCCGACACTAGGGCCGTACAGACTCATGCAGAACTATGCCACACAATTAGAACAGCAATGCTGTAGCAGGAATAGCGCTTGATTGCAACGGCTTCAGTGGGGTGTACGGCCACAGAAGCAGAAAGAAACATGCTCTTCTTTGCAGATGCTTTGTCTGCCGGCTTGTGAAACGGTCACACGTTGAAGGTTCAACAGGCCTCAAACCGTTCCGGTTTCAAAGCAGTTGCCCAAAGGGTCCTAAGTACCTATATCGTAGAATGTAAGGTTTCTATATTCGGAATTACTATTATGATTTGGGGAAGTATCCCCCATAATGGTACCTAGGACCCGGTGGGTTGTGGAGATGCTCAGCCCTCCCGACTTGCTTTTGCCAGTGCCACGCCGCGGCCCGCACCCGCTCGCGCAGGAGAGGGCTTGACTTCCGGCTTCCAATCCGAGACGTCGATGCGCACCTCGTCGCCGTCCTCCCAAATTTTCGTGGTTCCGCTGGAAAACTCCTGGGCTCTTGTTAAGAGATTTCATGTCAGTTCCCATAACAAGGAAAGCAGACTCCTTACTGTAGACACGTATGATGGTAACTTAAATCAAAATCCTTAAACCCTAAACCCTTACAGAACCCTTAAAGGAACCCTTGTAGATCCCTTAAAGGAACTCCTCGATCGCATGGTACCTTAAGTTAAACTCCTTAACAAAAGCCCAGACTCACCCCTAAACCCTTGTAGAACCCTTAAAGGAACCCTTATAGATCCCCATCAAGGTATCTTAAACTAAATCCCATAACAAGAACCCAGAAAACATAAATCCCAAACCCCAAAATCCTAAACCCCAACAAAACCCCCAAAACCCAAAAACCCTAAGTTAAACTTCTCCCTTATAGAACCCTTAAAGGAACCCTTATAGATCCCTATCAAGGTAACTCAAACTACATCCCATAACAAGAGCCTAGACTCGAGTATCAGCTTCTTCGGGACCCCTGGGGCCGGGTCGCCGAAGACATCTCCTGTGCCGAGGTTGGCCTCTGAGGTCTCCTCGAACTTCCTGGGCTCTTGTTAAGACGGCTTACAGTCGAGGGTTCAGGGTTTGGAGTTTGTAGGGTTAGGGTATTAGGGTTTAGGGTTCAGAGTTTATAAGGTTCGGGTACTAGGGTTTAGGGTTTAGGGTACAGTCAACCCCATAAAGTTGAAAAACGGATTAAGGCCAAATGGTGGTGGGATTCCCTATACATTACTCTTAAGGATTGAGGCTATTGGGTTTCCAACTTTTGGGCTTCTACTGTAGAGTTTAGGGTTTTTGGGATTTGAGGTTCAGGGTTTTTGTTGGGGTTTAGGGTTTTCGGGCTTGGGACTTAGGGTTTCTGGGTTCTTGTTGAGGGATTTATTTTGAGTTACCATAATTTGGGGTTCTGATAAGGGTTCTATAAGAGATCTGTTAAGGGATTTCTTATATAAGTTACCATAACAGAAATCTGTAGCAAATGTTATCTTACCATGGCAACTTAAACTCAACATCCTTTAACAGGAACCAAACCCTAAACCCCGGCCCAAACCCTAAAACGTCTTCTTAGCCCCCCCCCGAACTACCCTCTAATGTACCCTAAATACCCACTATTAAGGACCATACTGTAAGGGCTCCATTAAGGGGCCATCGGGGGGTCCCTGTTAACAAGAGCCCAGTTTCTTGAGGATCTCCAGCTTCCCCCCGAAGTCGCTGAGGATGCCGCGGAGCGCCTGGGTGACATCCAGCGGGCCGAAGCTCGCCCGCTTTATCCCCCATGTCCTGGGTGCCCAGATAAGGTTTAGGGTTCAAGGGTTAGGGTTTAGGAAGTAGGATGTAGGGCTTAATATGTACCCATAGGCTCCATAGTAGTTCGTTCTTGAGGTTACCTTATAGGGTCCTAATTATGAACCATGTCCTCGGTTCCCAATTTAGGATTTTAGGGTTTAGGGCAGCGTCGCTTGCGTATATGTAAGGATACCTTTTCTCCCGGTATTCAGTTTCAGCAAGGAAACCAGAAAGAAAAGGTTTCTACTGGGGAACCGATAGTGTCTCTCCAAAGTCATCATAATCTGGGCAACCTTCGCTCGAATGCTGACCTGCACGGGGAATGCGCATCCAGCCGGACTCTTCCACGGAGACGGTTTTCTCCTCGCCGTCCTGTTGGAAGCTTAATTTAGGTGCCTTAATAATTAGAACAGGGTTTTGGGGCCTCTTATACCATAACTACAATAAGGAACCCCCCAAAATGGTATAGGTAATTAGTAAGCGTCCTGTTGGAAGCTTACTGTCAGCTGCTTGGGGTTACCCGGCGCAGGGTCACCGAAGAGTGCATTGAAATCAGTGCAAGCAAAGTTGTCGCCATCTTGGCCACACGTCCCTCCACTTAATTTCACGTCTTCTCGGGAGTTGTCATAAAGCTCTACCACCTTGTTGGTGACATCGGTTTCGTGATACTTCGCAGATGAAACCACTGCATGCTTAACTGGAAGAAAGGCCGAAAACGGCTTGAAGTCTGCAGAGCGTGAATGGTAAGGCTTGGATGCCATTCGCAGGAAGAACTTCTCACCCTGCTCCAAGATCACTCGCGACTTGTCTGGCTGCCCTGGCTGCGGCCGCACCACCAAGAGAAGAGAGCAGCCCGCCGGCACCGAGGGATTCGGTGCCCCGCTGCCAACGTGTAGTCGGTGAGCCGGGGTCTCACGACCCCACCATGGGCCGAGCTCCAGAGTCGAAATGAGTGGTTTTGAAGAGCAAACCCGCTGTCCATCCTCCGTAAGCTGGTACACATCCACATAGCATCGCTTGGACTGGCTTGTTTGGCGCGCATCGAAGCCCTCGGCTTGGAATAGGAAGAGTGAGGTGCCAGCTGCATCAATGGAAGCCTGGTCGGGCATCTTGATGACCAGGGCGGGCTGGGCGTCGTCCCCAGAAGCCATGGCGCCAGAAAGCGAGTCGGTCTTGTAGCCATGCTCTTCAGATGCGTCGAGGATCAAGGTAAAACGCATGTTGGGATTTGACCAGCGGAACATGTCCTCCCGAGATATCCAGAAAACGCCATTGTCCGTCTTGCTGGTGTTGGGGGCTAGCTCCGTTGCAAGAGCGGGCTCCTCACTCCAGTCGTATCCAAATCCAAACTTGCCCTTCCACGAAAACGTGCCCCATGGGTTTCGGCACTGCAAAAACCTGCGGTCTCCGACTCGCTTGCACTGGACCAGTGAGTAGCCATGACTTGCAACGAGGCCAACCTTAGTCAAAGCAAGCGACAAGAATCAGTTCAAGCTATGAGTGGAGCCTCCTCAGCCCCGTGACATCAAGAAAGCATGAGAAGAGTGAATGTTGGACGTATGTGTTCAGGTTTCCAGCTGGCTGAGCAAGCAACCTCCATAAGCTGCTCAGGCGACGCGAGCCGTCCGTCTCTGCCCCACGCGAAAGCACAGACCGCGTCCTTGCCCACGTGCTCCTGGCAGAGTCTCAGCAAGCAATGCAGAAAGGTAGCTTAGCAAGCGCTTCATGGATGATAAAAGGAATCATCATCATTATCATCATCGTCATCATCATCGTTATTACCCCCTTAATACTCCTATACACTGTTATTTGCTGTTGTTGCTGTACCTCCAAAAACTGGAAGCCGCTGCCACTGGCACTGTCGATGGGCTCCATGATGTGGAACATCTCCGGGCCGTAATCCCATATCCGGTACATCCACTTCTGCGATGAGTAGGGAAACAAGTTTGCCTTGGGCCATATGTTGTAATCGTTGGATCGCGTGCTCATGACCTTTTCGAGAAGCATCGGCCACATCTCCTTGTTGTCCTGACTGTGGAAGCTCCAGCAAATCTTTCTTTCTGGGTCCACGCATGGGATGAAGTCGTCGAACCTGGGACAAATCGCATGGCAACTTAACCACTCTGAAATCAAGCAGCAACTCAGACCCTAAACCCTACAAGGCCTGCACCCTAAACTGTCAACTTCTAGACCCTAAACCCGAAAAACCCTAAAACCCTACAGCTAAACCGTTGACTTCGGCAAGAAGCAGCAACTTAGACCCTAAATCATATATAAACCCCCCAAAACCCATACGCCCTTTTTTGAAACCGGACTTGATGACTGCCAGCACTTCCTCCTCTGCCGGTCTTCAGCTGCATAAGCCCTAAACCGTTAACTTCGGGAAGGAGCAGGATCCATGCATCGAAAGTACCGTTCGAGAAGGTGCGGTAGGCATAGCAGCCGAACTCACTGATCTCCTATGCATTCCATTCAGGCTTTAGGGGGGCCTTTATGAACTTTTAGGGTTTAGGGCTATTAGGGCGTAGGCTTTAGGGCTTTTATGGCTTGTAAGGTTTAGGGCAAACAGAGCTCCAGTTGAGCGGACTTGCTGAACCCGAAACCTCTGAAGCCGTAAACTTCTAGACCCCTAACCTGCTACACTCCTACCCAGCCTAAACACCCCTCCTCCACCCGGAAAGTCCCCCAAACCCACCTCTGTCCTAAACCTAAACCCGCAAAACCCCCAAAAAATAGGGTCCCCGGGTTTATTGTCCCACGGTTGATGATATAAATCCTGCATTACCCATAATAGGGAAATTATAGGAATTATAGTATATTCCTTATTATGGGTATTGCAGGATTTATATCGTCAGCCGCATGAACACTTGGAGAGCTCCTTCGGCTCCAGATTCCTGTAGAAGGGCTGCGACTGGAGAGATTGGATAGCCCCCGCCATCGCGCAGACGCCGCAGTTGCCGATACCACCCTGGGCTGCTTTGATAATAATTAGAATAGAGTTCCTTTTAAAGGGTTCCGGGAAGGGATCTATAGTAGGGCTCTATAATAAAGGCAGCTTTGCGCGTTTATCGGGAATTGTAGGGGGTTTACGAGGCTTTACAGGGGGTGAAGGTTTCGGTTGCGACTGACTAGAGGGGCCTTGACGATTGGCGCTGGGTTCTTTTCTGGATTCCTTGAAGCGAAAACCCGTCCGTAACACCGAGGCCTGCATAATTAGACCATGCTGTTGGGTTCTCTTACAGTATAGCCAGAGTAGCAAACCCCAATCGCTGCAGGAATAATAATCTCCATGATTTAGGCTTCTAGATTACTTACCCTGTCGGGCCCTTTGCGCACGGCTACGATGGCAGGCAAAACTTCCCGAAACTTCAGTGACCATAACTTTTCTCGAGACTTCAGGCCTATCAGAGCCCTTTTGCATCCGGGCTCGGGTAGTCAACCGGGGAAAGTGACAGACAACAACAGCATTCTGATAGCCGTAAACCCTGAAGCCTGAAGTACGGTTGATGATATAAATCCAATCCCGCATTACCTTAAGGCCCCTAAACTATGGGATTTATGGTATATTCCTTATGGTGGGTCATGCAGGATTTATATCATCATCCGTAGCAAAGCTCCAAACCTCCCTGCTTTGCAGCTCAGGTTCCTGCCTGGTGTCTGTAACACTGCAACCTTACTTGTCCAGTCCCTAAACTATACTGAACTTAGAACCCTAGCAGAAATTTTAATTTTAGCTGTTTTTTGGGTGCTATAATAACAAAAAAAGAAAAATCTTTCTATGTACCCCTAAGTCAAGGTCCATGTGCCCAAATAGTAAAAACTCTGGCCTTAAGGTGCTCCCTATGTAGGTACATTGGGCTCGAAGTTTTTCGTATATGGGTGCATGAACTCTCAGGGAGTTTCCAGGGAAACTAAACGTTGACAACCTGAACCCTCTAGACCTTTGAGTTTGATAATTTTATATAGAGAAAAGTACTACCTCAAAAAAGTTAAAGGTTACTTACTGTACGGGTAGGCGACCATCCAGAAAGAGCACGGCTTCAGGATTCATCCGCCGCGGCCGCGCCCAGTAGAGCTTGCCTCAGGGCCGAAAATACCCCCAAGTGTCCGGCAGTGCACAACCAACTAACGGTGGGATCCTTATTAACGGATTTCTCTAAATAAGGTCCCTGGCAGGGTCCTGAAAAAAAAGATGCCGTACTACTTTCGGGATCTGAAAAGATCCAAGAGGCCTTATGTAGTAGAAACTGAGCTACCCATTACTCAGAATAGGGGTTTGGAGTACAACACAGCAGATTCAGGAGTCGTAAGAAAAGCATTGGCAAGTACCCCAGCCCCTATATTGACTGGTTTCTCAACAAGCATCGCCACTGCCAGTCGTCGTGGTCAACGAAGTTGTACCATGGACATCGGAAAACCTTGCCGTGCTTCTTGCAAAAATCCTGTATTGCACCCACTGGGTTCTTATCACATACCCGGTACTTCGAATCGTACGTGATTCCGGCATCGCGCAAAGTTTCCAGCAGCTCAGCTTCACTCATCACTGTCTCTTCGTCAAATGTTTGCCACCGTAGATGTGAAGTGTTGTCTTTTTTTGGCCTCCCATGCGGTACAGCACACTCCTCATCTTCATCGTAAAAGAACACGCGACCATCTTGCAGTGTAATCTCCAACATCTTTGATGCATCAGAATTCGGATTTCCGAAATGGCTGTTGAAATCTGAGAGTTTGAAGACCTCCATGCTTTGGGCTCCAGCATCATCGAAGAGAGTCCGGACTTTGTTGGTCACGTCCACCATTGGTGCTGGATGATCTCCGGAGGCATAAATGGCTTTGGCAATGTACCTGGGGTTGAGGTCGCAATAATTGGAATAGGGCTTGGGACCAATGATACTATAGCTATAATAGGGAACTCCCAAAGCCCTATTCTAATGATCAAGGCCCCTACATTAACACACGACTCTGCCCCTGGTTGCACAATTCATCTGCGATGCTCGTGATGCTCGTACGCTCTCCCCACGATGCTCTCGTGCAAGGCTTTGTCGTGAATCCACCTTACATTGAAGCGCCGCACGAGCCGAAACCATGGGCAAGGTCTACTGCGTAAGACCTACCTTAACGCACCAGAACCTACTTTTTTGTAGGGTCCCTATAAGCCCCATATTTGGGTTTATAATACGAACCTACCAAAAAAGTAGGGTTTAGTACGTCTAGGTAGGGCTTATAGGGTTTAGGGTTTTCGGGCATGGGAACAGCAAAAATGCAGACGGAAGAGACTCCAAATGACTCCGCTAAGGCACTCGAAGCCATCCCCGTCACCGCACGTTTTTTGAGTACCATCCTGAATCGAGGCCGAGGCTACGCCGAAAGTGCTGGAAGAAGCAGCCAGGGTAGCTAACCAATTAATCCCTTGTTTCGATGCGGCTTACACAGCGTTTGGCAAAGGACAACTGTCCTGAAACTGCACAGTCAGGAACTTGCGGACTCCCGGGCGCGGGTCATGCTCCACCAGATCGGGCACGAAATCCTTGAAGAAAACACGCCCCAAGTGCTTCTGTTGCTCGCAACGCTCGCGGATCTTGCTGGTCACATCGATGTCCGCGTATGTTGCTGACAGAATTTGGTCCATGGCACGGTACTTCGGGCAAATGCTCCTAGATACTGGATCATGCTCGTCCTCCCGAATGTTTGACGAGGCTCACAAACAATTCTACAATGAAGCATCGCTGATTCTACAATACATCTTGCAAAGGTGCCGGTTAGTCAGCTACCTACAGCATCAGCAGCGACATGGTTTCGAGCATGTCAAGACCTCATGCAGAACCTGCAGTAGTCCGCTCCACATCCGGCTCCCGTTGCGCAGCAACCGTTTCCTCTCTTTCTCTACAAGCGAAACAAGAGATTAAGGAACGCGCAGCGTCAGGACCAAGATGGATGAGCCAGCACAGGCGATGACAAATGGGAAAACCCAAGGGCGAAACAAGTGGCGAAGGAGTTGAGCTCTCCAAGATGGCCCACCCTCGCGACGAAGAACAGGCCCGAAAGAAACAAACACGTGTAGACGGCTGCAAGAAGAGTGCCAAATTGGATCGGAGGGGTACTTACCTGGCATCATTTAAGGTCTCCCAGTTGACTTGGGGCAACATGGCTGTCGCCTAGCCAATGTTGTGTTGAGGAGAAAGGCCTCCTGTCACAAACATGGAACTCAGTATAATGCAGGTGCCTGAATTATTACCAATAGTATACTAGTTTGGGGGTGCTATAATTATAGTACCATGGGCCACACAACCTTTTTCTAATTATTAAGGCCCTATACCCTAAACCCTTATAGTAGCCCTTCTAGAACCCTTTAAGGAACCCTTTGATGAAAACCATATTCTAATTAATTATTGATTACGGCCCCTATAGTATAGGAAGTTGACTGCGAGGTAAAGGACATTGAAACATAACCGCCCTTAAGAACTGTCTCCATGATTTGGGAAATTGTTTCGCTTGCGTATTCCTTGTTGGAGCAGTGGGCGGCTTTTGGGCGGTTTCTCAGAACGGGTCTATCCCTCAGTCTACCTTCTACTAGACCCTAAATCCCTACAACTAATGACCATATGCCCCTGGTCCTGGTAAGGTTCTTCTCTGTGTGTTGGTCCATGGGGAGCGTACGGTAGTTTGGACTACACCGCATACCTGAACTACATGGGGCCCGCCACCAAATGCCAACTACGTCCCCCAAACCCTATACACCCTTCGTGACAGCCCTTAAACCGCAAGCCCTTTGACTTCAATGGGAGTAAGGATTCGGGGGACCCTCGCGGATATAGACCCTCTCAATAAGCTCCCTTTTAAGAGAGCCAGAAGTAGGGTTCAGAAGGGGTACCCTTTAAGGGGCCTCCCTCATCATGCTACCCACTCAACAGAGCTGCCCAAACGGTCTCGACCCTTCTACACCGAATCTCGAAGAACCACAACTAAAGCATGTAGCATTGACCTAAGCCCTATACACACCGCAACCAAAGAGCACCACCAAACCCTAGAAGTAACGAGCCCTAAAGCCTTAAACTGAAAAAAAAAACCTGACAGCTTAAGCTCTAAAACTCCATGTCTTGAACCAGGCTGCATGGGTGCCATGCATGAGGATCTGGTCTAGCAGACCGTACCTCGACTGCGAGTAAGGGTTACAGGGTTTAGGGTTTAGGGTTACAGGGTTTAGGATCCCGAAACGAGCTCTACTATAGGTTTTCTGTACTAACTAACCCTGGGGCTCCAAGTATACAAATACTACCTACTTTGGGGCCTAAAGTCTATAAATAATACCTACTTTACTTTGGGCTATTTGGAGCCCCAGGGTAACATTTCAAGGCCCGGAGCCCAACAGCCTAAGCCCAAACGGCCCAAAGCGCAGACGGCCGAGGAGCTCTCGGTCAAACCAGTCCACCACAAGCTTGTACTCAGAGGGGTACCTGCAGCGTAGGCTTGTTGCATGGCACTGCTTACAAAACCTCGGGCTTGGGCTCAGTTAACCCTAAGACTCCATATACCCCCCAAGCAGGCACGATTTATCCCCAATGTAGGTACTATCTGTATACTTGGAGTCTTGGGGAAAGGTTCCAGGATGAGAGGCTTCGAGCTTGGGGATGCGCAGCTGCCGGCTTCGCACGGCACAGATGGTTCAGTAAGGCTCAAAATCGGCGGATCCCAACCGGCGTCTAAACCCCAAACCCAAACTGAAAGTCGCTAATGTAGCGGCCTTAACTATTGAGGCCTCTACAGTAACTCTTCCTTCAACACTGACCGCCAACCTTCATTCACACATCAACTACTATGCCGGACAGCCTCCAACCCATTGCCCCACGCCCCATAATGCATCGACAGCAAAGCCACAGCCCCAGACCTCCAAACACGAGAACTTTGATTCCTCAACCCTGCGGCTTAGGCAAGGCATCCCTCGATCCCTAGGTGCATAACCCATTTTTTGTAGGCTCTCACGAAGTACTAGTTTAAGTCCGAATATACGGCTTATCGGGATCCTACAAAAGAGCAGGTTGTGCTACGTAGCCCAAGGCAGGACAAACCAATATCGATCGCAGGACTTACACAATCGGGCTTCGGAGTATGCGGATTCGGGTTTTTTCTGATATTAACACTTTTCCTGGTCATGGTTTTTGCAGTCGGAGGCGGCGGGCTTCGCAGTGCTGTTTCGAAGTTTCATGGCCAGTGACTAGGGAAGTTTGGCCTCGAGCCAAAATACAAAGCGGCGCACGCAACCCCGTCTCGTAAGTTTGGGGCTTGCAAAGTCTTCGCCTAGAGATGTTACACCCCTTAACCCTTTGTTGCTTCCTTCCTTTCTCCTAGTTATACCTTTCGCCGGAATAACCTTTTTTAAGGACTTATATAAGGAAATCATAATAAGGAACCCTAAAAAGGTAGGTTATTCCGGCTTAAGGTTGACCCTACAACCCAAAATGGAGCTTCAACTCCGAGACGCCTACACCCTGAAAATCAAACAATCAACCCGAGACGAAACTGCGGCCGTGGGTGCAAGAGCCCGAGCCCGAAATGCTCCAGCGTCGCCGGCAGAGTGTGGCCTAAAGGGAACTCCGGAAAGTTGGAATATGGTTTCAGGGTAGGATACCCTACAATTTACCATAAAGGGTTTAGGATAATCATATTCCAACTTTCTGGCTTTTACTTTAGTGCTGGAGGGGTTTACCCGGAGGCCCCAGAGTAGTTCCTTTTTTGGGGTTCATATATAGAACCATATAGGGTAATCCAAAATTGCAACTACTATGGGGCCTCTGGGTAGATGGCCGTTCACATAACTTGTTGTGCATCATACGGCTTCCAAGTACGGCTTCCAAAGCAAAGGTTGACGAAATGCGATGCAAGCATGTACAGAGCATTCCATAGGTTTGAGTTGTGTCCAATCCTGCCTCAATGAGATTCGGAGCTTAGGATCCGGTCGGGCTTGAGAAGCAAGGATCCGATAGGAAGAGAACAAGACAGGTTGGCGAACCAAAACGAAAGCCAAACTACTAAGCCAAACTCTCAAGTAAAAACTCTGCCGTAGGACATTGTCAGCTCATGCAAACCCCCTGCAGCCGCCCAGTTGCAGTGCGGCACCGGAAGAAGGGCAATGTTCTTGGAGTTGGTTGGGTAGTCGTAACCTGCCATCCAATTTAGGGCTTCTGATTGTGTTTCTGAAAATGAAGTGCCCAACTCACACCTTGCAATACAATTGCTTTGTGGCCTTTCCTATTCTGAAGGCTTTCATCGGGTTACGGGCTCAGAATGTTGGGTTCATGATAGGGTTAGTTTAGGGACCCTGAACCCTCGATTTCTGGGTTGACAGTCAGCTCATGCGTAGGGGCGGAGATTACGTGGCCTTCAGGATTTCGGAGGCAGAAGTTATATACGATATGCATAACAAAATACTACACAATACAGGGAGCAGAAAGTTATTAGGCGACTAGGTTTTTTTTGGGGGGGAGCGGGGGGTATAATGATATGGAGCCCTACGGAATAATGCGTGCATTTTACGCCCATATATTTCCCTATGCCCTAAACCCTAAGCCTATGATCTACTCAGACGCGTAAAGACGAGGACTGCTAGCATTGACTCTATCGCTGTGATGATGACGCTCAGGTACAAGGGCCTTCGTCTCAGCATCTGCTTCGAGAATAGAGTCTCATGCTTACGCATGAAGGGCTAGGCTTGCTCAGGTACACGCCGGGTCGAACTGAGGACTTCTAGCATTCCATGTCCATGCCAAAGGCCTAGGACTCCAGAGCTAGGGCTCCAGTTGACTGGCTTAGATAGTTTATGGATAGTAACCCACTATTTACTAGGATGCCCAAATAACCTAGCAATAAACAAGGCTTCCTTTTTGGTATTGGGTAACTTTATATGGAACCTAGGACTACACAAAGGGAATAAGGGTACTGGGCATCCTGGTTTAGGTACCATGTACATCCAGCCCTGGGCCATGTTAACAGGATATGTGGCGATCAACGGAATGGGCCGCGGCGCCAGGGCGGACCAGGGTGATTGGGTCCCACATATTGAAATAATGTGACATATGAGTGCATGGGAGAGGGGGTCATGCTTAGGTATGTGTGTGTGCGTGCGTGCACATACATGCATAAACATCCATACATACATCCGGGCATACATACATACGTACATATATACATCCATGCATACGCTCTTAATATATATATATATATATACACACACGCTCACAGATAGATACAGATACAGTAGGGCACCTGTCGGGAACAAACACCTGGGAAGCAAGGGGAACCCAGGATATCATGACAATACACACACACACAAACCACAGATATCTATGCAGAGGGGAAAGCCGAACTAAAGGATTGTACTGCGCAAAGTTGTGAGCAGCGCAGAAGCTCGAGGCTTTGGCATGTAAGTTAGGCAGAACAACCGCCAATCGATCCTTGGAGCGTACAACCTCAATTGCTGCCCCAATTAAAACACGACCTTGCTATGCCCCACGTTCCTCAGAATACAGCGCAGGCTTGATAAGCAGGCAAGCGCAACCCAAAGATCTAGCGATCGGCGCATGGAATTCCAAGGAACTCCTCGTGGGCAAAGGCTCTTCGTGAGGGTGTCATGTATGTGTTTAGGCCTGTACCCAAAAACCTAAATTCCCAACAGCAAGCAGGCAGTCGGATTCGTTTTGTCTCGGGCTTCGTTTTGAGGATTTAGGGGATAAACAAGCTCAAACACCACCGGCGCCCGAATACCCTGCAAGACCTCACAACCTGCATGCTCCTACTAACCAACCTAAAACACCACGACAGGACTTTCCCCCAAATCCTAAACCTTCCTAGCTCTCAACTCTACAGAATCGAGCACACAGAAACGCTTCAACCAAACCCATGAGTTCAAACATCCCACCAACACCCCAAACTCGTAGAGTCTTAGACTTATGCAACCTAATACTAAAATGATTAACAAACCCAGGCCCTAAAGCTCAACAGCCTAATATTTAACACACCCGAAATCCCAAAATTAGAACCTAGTTTTCATGTTGCCAACCCCAAATCCTATTCCTCTAGAGCCTAGAATGACGAACCCCCTAAACCCTCTCTCTGTCTCTATCTCTCTCTCTCTCTCTCTTTCTCTCTCTCTCTCTCTCTCTCTCTCTCTCCGCTGTGGGACACAGATGGTCCCACGCCCTAAAGCCCGAAAACTCAAGGCGTTGCGGTGTCGAGCCTGGCCAAGGCACGCGCCGCCGGCGAGTCCGGGCTCCTTTGAGCCTGCGATAAACGGAGAGGAACCTGGGTTCCGGTACAGTAAACCCCATGAAGTTGGAAACCAGAATAAGGCCAAATAGTGCTGGGATTCCCTCATTACTCTGAAGGACTGAAGCTATTGGGTTTCCAACTTTTGGGCTTCTACTGTACTGGGTTCCTATAGAAGGGGGGATTTAGGGTTTAAGGTCTATGATGTATAAGGTTGTAGTATAAGGGCTACTACAAGGACTTCGACTCTTGAGCTGTCGCGGTGCTCCACGGCTGTGTTGTATTGCAGTAGATTATAGTATATGATACCAAAAGCGATGCTTAAGGGTCCGAGTAGTCCGTATTTGATTATGGTTTTTGGTACCTCAAAAGGCCCTGAAGTCCTACAGCAGCGAGTCCTTGGAACCTCTAAGGATTACATGTGAGACGAAAAAAATGGTATGATGTTGAAGCAACAATATATTGAGGGAACCTCTTGAATGCTGGCTGATCCTTCTCCCAGCAGGCTTGGCTTTTAGGATCGCCCGAGGCAGCTTTGAAGAGCAGGGTGAAGTAGGCTGCGAACTCTAAGAACAATGCCCTGCAGCCCTACACACTCTCGGAACCCTAAACCCGAAACTCTGTAAACCCTAAACCCAGAGGTTCTCATGCCTTAAACCTAAAGCCCTAATGCCCTTAGCCCCAAAGCTCCTGAACCCTCACTCTAGACCCTGTCAACCGTAAAGTACCCCTGAACCCAAGCCCCAAACCCCCTAAACTCTCATCTCAAGCCCTAAACCCTAAACCCTTAAACCCAAACCCCCCAAAACCCTCCCTCACCTCAAGCCCTAAACCCTTAAACCCAAACCCCCCAAAGCCCTCACCTCAAGCCCTACACCCTAAACCCTTAAACCCTTAAACCCAAACCCCTAAACCCTTAAACCCAAACCCCTAGACCCTTAAACCCAAACCCCAAATCCTAAACCCTTAAACCCTTAGACCCAAACCCTGGACCCTTAAACCCAAACCCCAAATCCCAGAATCGAAGACCCCAGTCCAGAGCCTCCTCAGCAAGCTGTAACGCCATGTCAGCCCTGGTGGGATTCGGCTTCCGGAAGCCGGGTTTTAGTTTAGGAGTTCGGATTTTTAGGGGTTAGGAGTTCGGCTTGTAGGGTTTAGGGTTTCGGATTGTAGGGTTTAGGGTTTCGGATTGTAGGGTTTAGGGTTTCGGATTGTAGGGTGTAGGGTTTAGGGATCGGATTGTAGGGTTTAGGGTTGTAGCTTAGGATTATAGGATTCAGGGTTAAAGGTGCTGTCGGTTGTTATTAATTAGGTGTTCTGAGGGGGTTCAAAAAGGCTTTCCAAAGTTTATAGTGGCACCGGGACTACGGTTTTCCAAAAACATATAAACTTTCAAAATAGAAGCCAACACACTTCGTCACCCGCCATCCGCAAGCGGAAACCGCCATGGCCTTGTCTTGCAGCTTGGCCTTCAACTCTCTGTACTTGCGTCAGAGGATGCCATTCTGCTAAATTTGCAGGATTGCACAAGCCAAACACGAAGTGCATTAAATGCACCATCCTCCTCCTCGAGCTGACGCACCAAATTGTCGAGGCCTTGTTGTTGCCAGAAGTCTGGACATGGGCTCGTTTTACAGCAGTGAGGCAGGTGCTCTTCACTTGCGAAGCTTCCGGCAGGCACCGGAACGCCTTAAGAGCAATTGCGCATGCAAATGCAAAACCTTCGAGTTGGAATGAGAGCCCGGCTCCTGGAGCAGATTTTACTGAATATTGGTGCTCAGGGACTTTCCTACCCTAGATGGTCAAGCATGCACCATCCTGGGAGTCGCAAGTACGTATACAGTAGTATAGAAGAGAATGGGTTGCTCTGCGACTTTTGCAGACAGCTACTGTGCAGGTCATTCGAGCTTCTAGGGACACACCCACACCCACACACACTCTCTCCCTCTCTCGGTCTCTTCTCTCTTTCTCTTTCTCTCGCGTCTCTGGACTGGGTTGGGTTGTCATGGAGATATCGCCTCGCTTGGATGAGAACCTACAAGTATTTGCCTAGGCCTTGCTAAACGTCCTCGACAACCGTACCCTGGGCACCCTAGGCAACCAAGGTTTGCCCCCCGAACCTTCCACACTGCTTGGGGCTTGGAGTTCCGAACACGCAAGCACTACACCCATGCCGGGTCCGACAACACCAACAGGCTCTAACAACCAAACAAGGGCCAAGAAACACTCGTCAACTGACTCATTCGAGCATGTAGTGGCATCCCTACATCAAGTTTGCAGGCTCCAGCATGTCGCAGCATCTGTTTTCCCAACTTCTGGTAAAGCCTCGATCAAAACCACTAGGCCCTACGCCTCTTTTGAACCCTGCGGTAGGAGTACAAAAAACTCAACCCAACACCACAAAGCCCGGATACCCCTACCCCCTACCCTACCCCCTACCCTACCCTACCCCGACCCCTACCCCACCCTATCCCCTACCCATCCCAAAAGAGGATCTCCCGGCTTTGGGGTGCTTCTCTTCAGGCAACCCCCCACGGGAAGTCCAAAGCAGCCCCCAACATCGAGCCGACAAAATCCGACAAAAGCTGCAGGGTTCAGGATATGGCTTTGGGTTTAGGGTTTATTGGGGGTTTATTGGGGTTTCGGGTTTATTGGGGGTTTAAGGGTTGAGGGGTTTGTTGGGTGCTTTTCCCTCCTAGGTTTAGGGTTTGGGGGGCCTGCAAAGTTGGAGTGTGGGTTTGACGGTTGAGGATGTTTTGGGGCATTGGCTAGTCGGATGGAGGTCCTTCAGCAACCTGAGCAAAACCTTGAACCCTAAGCCTCACCCGTACAAAGCCCATGCCTAGCCGCATGTTGTAGCACAGGCCCTATGATACGACTTCGAGGGACCGTGAAAAGGCAAGTTACTCAACCCTAAACCCTAAACCCGAAAACATCAAGAGATTTGTTGGGTGCAAGAGATCCCTCAAAGTACTTCTGGCAGGGGGCAGCTCTAAAAGCACCGGCCGGCTGTCCACGCCTGAGCGGGTTCAGAACTGCAGGGTCGAATCTACCAGGACCTTCCCTTTACTATACTGAACTTGGAACCCTAGCAAAAATTATAATCTTAGCTGTTTCTTAAGGATTATAATAACCAACAAATTAAAAATAATTCTAAGTACCCCTAAGAAAGTTGGAATATGGTTTCATGGTAGGATACCCTATAATTTACCATAGAAGGGTTAGGATAATCATATTCCAACTTTCTGGCTTCTACCTTAAGGGCCCGTTTGTCGAGGCCTGGGAGTGGGTATCTGGGGTATGATGGACGGTACCCAGAGACTCCAATATCCCTTACTTAAGGAATGTACCTTAAATCATGTATAAGGGATCCTACCATAATTTGAGGAATACTCCTTAATTATGGGATGTTGGCGTCTCTGGGTAGTTGCGGGGTCTAGGTACCTTTAATAGAGGCCTTATAGTCCTTCATAGTGGGTATTTGGTGTATGATAGACGGTAGTTGCGGGGTCTAAGATTTCAGGAGGCTCGTGGGGTATCGTTTACGACACAATCAAATTAATATGAACCACCAAACTTACAGCAAGACCTATAAGGGTTTGTGGCATGGACCTTTAGGGTCTATTTGGCAATCCTGCTGGGCTTTGTATTTAAACTGCAACAACACCACGGCGACAAGGACGACGACGACTCGGTTTAGCACGACGACGACTGGGTTCGGCGACGACAAGGTCTGGCACGACGGTTACATCGGGAGGCCGAAGCGTGTACAGTGCAAAGGTCTCGACAGGAGTTTAAGGGTCTAGGGTCTTAGCTCCTAACTATGGTTTACCGGGGTCAGTATACTATGGAAGATCTAAGGTTTGGAGTTTATGAGGATTTAGATGGTTTTACGCTCTCACAAGTTCTCCGTGCTGGTTTTAGGGTCTATCACAGTCTATCACAATGTCCTCCCGTCCCTCTCGCGCCGGGAACCATCAAGAATCTGTCTTGTGTATTTCTCGTCCTGTGTCTTTCTCTCATTCCCGTTCCTCTTCCTGCCTATCCACTCTGCCGTTTGTCAAGAAGACACAGAAATTGAATTCCTCTCTGCCGTGTCTCGCTCTCTCATCTCTTCTGTCCCCTCTTTCCTTGCTCCCTTGCTGGAAGGCATAGAAAACAGAAGCGAAGACATAAGATGGAGGAAGATGGTTGGGAGAAGGAAGGTGGACTCCTCCCTCACTCGGCTCTTTGACTTTCTTTGCCCTTGCCTTCTTTTCTGCTCCTATCCTTCTTACAATTAGAAGGAGAAGCGACAAGAACGGAGAGCTCAGGGAGAGCAAGTGACACTGTTCCTCATAATCTCCTCCTTCATCGTGTTCATTGCGTTGTCCATCTCCCTCTCTCTCTCTCTCTCTCTCGCTCTCTCTCTCTCCCTCCATCCTTTCCTCTCTACTTCTGCACATTTACTTTTCCACTTCTCTCGCCTACTACATTATGCTTGATTTGATACTTATCTTCAACTTTCTCTCACTCTCTTTGTCCCATCGCTTGCCCTGTTCCTTCTCCTCCTCCCTTCCCTGCCTCCCGTCCTTCTCCCCTTATCACTCGGAAGGAAGAAGGAAGACTCACAAGGAGAAAGACAAGGGAGTAAGAAAACAGACAAAAGAAACGGAGAGAGAGAGCCATAAGGGACGAAATACAGAAACAAAGAGAGAAAATATGGGGGAAAGATAATCAAAAAGAGAGACAGAAAGAGGAGGCGATGCATAAAGCAGCCGACAGTGCCTTGACCTCCACGTCTATGCATTCTTTGTTCTTGTCCTATCACACTGTCTCATTGGCACCTTGTGCCCTTCCTCTCCCACCGCTCGCCCGCTCTCCTTTCTTTGATTTTCTTGTCTGTTGGAAAAGTGGGAACCAGGAAGGAAAGTGGACAAGGGAAAGGACGAGATTGAGACATGACAGAAAGAAGAGAGATACAGAGAGAGCGAGGGAGAGCTTCAAGCCCAGCAGAGGAAGAAGAGAGAGGAAGATAAGAGAAGGGGGCAAGGGGTGGCCAGAAGAAGCGTAAGCCAAAGCTACATATTGAAAGGGCGGAAGCCCCATTCTCCTCTTCTTCCTCTTTGCTCTCTTGTTTTTCTCTTGGCGCAGGGCATGCATGGAGCTAGGAAAGGGAAGGGGTCAAAGCGGATGAGAGAAAGTAACGGAGAGAGCTGTTCTTCGTCCCTCTCACCTCCTCCTCTCATTCTCCTGATGCTTACTCATGTCAGAAGGGTCTGGAAAGGAGTGAAGGCTAGGGCATGGACTGAAGCGAGGCAATAGGTGAAAGTGGATAAGAGAAAGTCGGGGGAAGTCGAGTGCGAAAGAAAGAGAAACGAGGAAGACTAGGAAGAAGGACACAGAAGAGGAAGCGAGAGAGTACCAGTGTTGCCGTATCTCAAAGGACTCCGGGCCTCGCGAGGGCTTTGAGGAGGCTTGTAGGCGCCTTCAGGCACTTCCACAACTTTCTGGAGGCCACCAACTTCCTCCCTAAGGGAGCCTCACGAGGACATGAACACCAAACCGAGTATAAAGAAAGCAGGGGGATGTAGAGAAGCAGAGTGTGGTAAGAAGGAGCAAGGAGAATCAGTTCGCGTCTCCTCATCGTTTCCTCTTTGAATGACCAGAGGAAAGAAGAAAAGGATAAGAAGGAGGAAAGGCTCTGCGAAGACATCAAGAAAGAAGAGCAGACAACAGAAAGGAAGCGGTGAGATGCGGGAAGACGGTTCGGAGAAGAACGGAGAATTCCTCCTTCGCTCGCCTCTCTTACTTCCTTGCCCTTCGCCTTCTTCCTCTTCTCTTACCCTATTCATCTTCATAAGGAAGGAGAAATGAAAGGAACGGAGAGTTCAGGGCATGCAAAGGGCACTCTTTCTCATCACCTCATCCATCCTCCTTTTCATTGTTCTCTCCAGATCCCTCTTTCTCTCTCCCTCCCTTCCCGTCTACTTCTGCACATTCCCTTTCCGCTTCTCTCCGCCTATTATGTTCGCTTTGTAAAATCGCTTGCCCTATTCCTTCTCCTCCTGGCTTTCCTGCCTCCCG